CGCCGTGGGAACCTTGGATCTCTGTCAGGAGATCTGTCTGCGGAGACCCTCATGCACTGGTGTCGAGTTCCGGAGTCAAAAATGCGCGCCTTGGCGGCCCTGGGCCTCGACCCCATGCAAGCGCAAGCAAGTTCTTGGCAAGAGTTTGACGCAGTCATCGTTGATGGGTCCAAGGATTTATGGAGCGTACCCCTTCGTGCGACCAGCGGGAGCTCCCAAGCCTCCGAGTGCGTCTCTCTGCTGCCGGAGTTCTTCGACTGCAATTTGACGTAAAATCAAGAGAGCTATGCAACAAAGCCGACCTGCTTTGGCGGTCCACTGGGCCCGGCAGGTTCGTCTACCCTCGCCGACACACAGGGCGGGGAGGAGACAACAAGCGCTGGAAGCGGGGTCCAGGCAGAAGCAGCGAGCAGAGCACGGCAGGTCGGTGTCGAGTGGTCTTTCTCCAGGTGGCCCGAAGGGTACGGATTTCGGCAACGGGGAGTCGCAGTACACAGCTGGCCCCTACGTCGCTGGCCTCAGAGTCCTCAGAGCCCCGGGCTCCCCAACAAAAAGCCCAAAAGACGCCGGTGCCACGGAGGAATTCCTCTCCGTGGAGACGCGCCGCCTCTGTGAGAGGAGCTGCAGCGAGCGCAGTTGGTGCGGCGGCCTCGGAGTCTGTGGTCCTTCCTTTCTTCAGAGAGCCCCTTTTCCGGATCCTCCGAAGCTGCTTTTTGTGTTGTCTGCAGGCGCCGGCTACGCCTTCAAGCACTCGAAGTCACAAGGCAGACTGCCTGACTGGCGGCTGGGGGCCTGCCAACTGGCCCGGGCCTTGGCCCCCCACAGCGCCCTTCTCGCTGCATGCGGGCGCTTGCGTGAGGTCGGGAAGCGCATTGTGACGGCAACGCAGGTCCCCCAAGTGGCCTCCTTCGGGAAGGCCAGCTGCTCCGTGGCTGGCATTGTCTCGCTGACTCGCTGACCTCGTAGCCTTTGGTCGTCTTTGATCGCCACACCAGGCCGGCCTTTGGCAGAGTCATGGTCCCAGCAAGTGCCAGCTGCTGCCCAAGATGCTCTTCAAGGAGGAGGGCCACTGCACCAAAGGCGCCAAAGACTGATCAAGCCAAGGCTCTCGGATTTGCCGGAGTGACTATACTTTCCCTTTCAACAGGTCAGGTTTACAGCTCCCATGCCTGGGAGCTCTCTGCGCCAGTGGGCCCCAAAGGCTCGGGGGTGCAATGCCGCAGTCATGATTTGGGTGTCGTGTAGCACACGCTGCATCTGAATGCAGGCTTTGCTTCCCCCGAGTATTCGTCGTGGCTCTCGTTGGCATGGAGGAGGTGTCAAACACGAGATCGGGACACGGCCTTTGTGTGCCTTTGGTTGCATGCCGTGCTAGGCCCCCGTGATGCCATGTCCAATATTTCTTCGCTGAGGAGCGTCTGGACAGATGCAGGATACAGGTGCTACAAGTCCGCTTCTTGCAGCGTCCGCGCCGACGGTCGTGTCAGGCAGGCGTGCGTCTGGGACTTGTGCGGCGCAGACTGCAGCGCATGAGAGGTCCTGGAGCGTAGTTGGCCCAGAGAAGCTGTCGTCCCTGAAAGAGCAGAACTTTAATGATCGCGGGCAGAGGCCTCGTGTGTTCGCTTGTGGATGTTCATGTCGTGCTGACATGCTGCTGTCTGCATGGACCCCGGCCAGGACCCTGAATATGAGAAAAACCTACACGTACAAGCTCAGCAATGGCTTCACGTGCACCTTGAGAGGATGGACTCACACAAGGACCTTGAAGTTCCACCCCACTTTGTGTCGGATGGCCGAGCTCCATCAGAAAAGCCTGACCAAGTTGTGCGGACCGAAGCATCAAAAACCCATTGTAAGACTGGAAGTCTGTGTCAGGAGCTATGCCAAGGGCTTCCTGCGAAACAAGCCTGGGTCGGGCTCCGCGCGATCCCCAAAAGACGTCTCGTCAAAGTGGGAGAAGATTCCTCCGTCTGACTCTCAGGCGATCGTCTCCGGGCTGCAGCCGGGAGAGCAGTACGTGGCCTGGCTGCACGCCACACTTTGTGGGACACGAAGCTTGCTCTTTAGCGGCGCTGCAGCGGCAGGTGTGGCAGCTCTACCAGTACGCTGGCCTCTTTCCTGGGAAGAACGGAGTGCGCGTGAACGGCCTCGACCAGGGCCTGGCGGCGCAGGGGAAGAGCGAGGATCCGACGCTGCTGGGCCTGGCCAAAGCCGACTCCAAGGGCCAAGTCGTCTTCGCCTTCACGCGGAGCGCCAGGCACGTGCACCTCTCCGGCCTGGCCTTCCGACGCCTCAACGAGGCGAGGCAAAAGAGAGAGGGCCGTCTGTGAGGAGGCTCTGAGGAGGGTCTGTGCTCTCTCTCTTTGAGACCCCGCGAGCGCCTTTTCAGGCACGGACGGAGCGCCTCTCCTCGCTGACACAGAACTCGTTTCACATGCGGCGGCGAGGAAACCGGAATCTTGACAGAAACAACGGCGACCCGGCATTGATAGCTAGTTTCTGACCCATGTCGTGGATTGTCGTGGAGCGCTGAGGTTACGTTTACAAGCTCAGCAACGGCTACAACTGCGAGCTCAAGGGCTGGACTCACAGCCGAGACTATGCATCTTGTTGCAGCAGTATCGACAAAAACAAGTGCCAGTGGAGAGGGTGACCACGGTGACCCTAGTCCAAGGCAAGAGGAGTCCTTCGCAACGTGGTCGGCAAAGCGACTGCGGTGGTCTCTGGCTTGGAGCCAGGCCGCGATGAAGCATGCTTTGCAAGTGCTTTGCAGACTCTCTTCGAAATCTACTGACTGGCAGGAGCTCTTTACTCGTGGAAGGTCTATCAGTTCGCGTCACAGTTCGGCGGCTCAAACGGGCTCTCCGTGAACGGTGAGCTCGGAACTGAATGAGCGGACGGCATTCTGTGCGGCCGTGCGTCGCATCAAAGGAGCTTCTGCCTTTTTTCTCAGGTTCATGGGTCTGACCGTGGCATCGCGCCGCACAGATGCCACCAAGACCGGGGCCCATCGAGCCAGCGCTCACGGAAGAATCACTTTCGAGTTTCAGAGGACTTTAGTTGGATCAACAGCAGCCAGCAGCCAGCAGCTACCCTGAGCTAGCATGCCCCAGCCAGCCCTCTGAAAATCCTTTTTCAGGAGGTCGGCTCACGTCCATCTCTCTGGGATTGCCTTAGGCAAGGTCTATGAGGCGCAGCACCGCTGCAGGGTTGCGAACCCGCCAAACCGTCATGGCAATGGTAGCCCCTGGCAAAGGCTGGCGATGAGTATCTGTCCTCAGTCGACGACAACAACTTCGATGACCCTCAGCACTGCGGTGGGGTAGAGCCTGTTCTTGCGCTGCTGCCTCTCTCAGTTTGGCTTCTGATTCCTTCTGGGTCCTCGGCTCGCCGGCAAAGTGGGTATCTTCTTTTTGGAGTCCATCGTTCGAGCATGTAAGGACCGTGGCAACGTCAACTTGAACCCGGCGGCCGAATACGTCTACAAGCTGAGCAATGGCTACCCCTGTAAACTGAGAGGATGGACCCACAGCAGGTACTACGCAAAAGGCTTCCTGCGAAACCAAGAAGGCAGCGCCACAGCGGTGGTGTCTGGCTTGGAGCCTGGAAAGTTATACGCTTGGAAAATCTACCAATATGCCGCTGCGTGCCTCGGTTGACATTTTGTTGTGTATGTGGGTGTGTGTGTCACTGTGCCGTATGATGTCACTCCTATCTGAGGTACGGGGGTAGGAACAAACTGCGGGTGAATGGCGGCAACTTCGTGTGGACCACGTCGTCCAAGAGCGACGCGCCAACTCGAACGGGCGCCTGGGCTTTGAGGAGCTCTGCATCTGCGCATGCCCTGAGCCCGCCAGCCAGCCATGCCCTCCGAGGCTTGACGAAGGCGAAGCCTTCTGGCCGGTTCCTCGGTGCGTCGCGTTGTGGTCGCGTTGTCCTTGGTCCCTTCCTGTTTTGGCGGGGCGGTGGGAGGCGAGATCTCTTTCGAGTTCGTCCGCAGCGCGAAGCACGTGCACTTGTCCGGCGTGGCCATTGGCAGAGTGCGAGAGGCGAACAGGGGCGAAGAAAGGGGGAGAAGTTGAAGTTGTGTTCGGGAGTGCTTTTTTTTTTTTTTTATGTGCGAGCCTCGCGAGTCAACGAGGCCGAGTCGCCCGACCTCCAGGCCAGGCGCAGGGCGCGGGCGCAGGGCCTTTTTGGAGTTCCCTTTTCTTGTTCCTTCGATCCGGTGGAGATGATGTGCCGGGACTCGGGGACCGGTGTGAGGAGCTGACCTCCAACAGTTTGGATGCCTGCAAGCGAAGCTGCGAGAAGAAGGCGGCTTGCCAAGGAGCCTTGACGGAGCTTTGAACGGGGCCTAGGGTCAGGCGCTGCTGCTCATGTGCTCCTGGCTTCTTGCTCCATCATCGTACCTGAGGAGTCCAATATGACTCGCCCAAGAAGCGCAGCTCGGCTGGGCTGGGATTTCCTTTCGTCTCCCTTACGCCCCTTCCCATGATCATTTCGCACTTCAGTGTCCTTCAGGCTGCAGCTTGTGGTCAAGTCCCTTCGAGTCGGTTCCAGCGGGAGATGGAGTCGAGTGCCTCTCTTGGCGGCGGCTGTAAGCCCCCCTGCTCAGCAACGTCACAGAGCCGTGCTCGCTAGACAATCGTCCTTGGTGCTAAAGAGGAACGTCCTTCGGATATGTGCAGAGACTTCTAGCGAGCATGGTGTCTGCTATATACCTCTGCGAAGACTGTGTAGTGCAGGGCTCGTGTCGAAAAGCTGGCGTCGAACGTCTTCTAGCGACAAGACAGCAGCTTGAGCTCACCCTTGCGTGCTGTGGCCAGATCTCAGATAGGAATGACAACTTCTTTAAACATCAATCAAGCACTCAGAAGTGACCCTCACGAGTAGCACGAAGGGAAGCAGTCCGCAGCCAGCACGCAGCTAGCATGCCTCCAGCTCGCCAGCGATAGCGCAGACCTGGTAACCGGTACACCTCGCGCGCACGTTTCTCCTGCATGGCCACGACCGACCGCCTCATCGAGCTGTTCCGCCAGCTAGACAGGCCTGGGGGGCGGCGCGAGGGGAAGGCCTAGGGCCCGGACGAGTTCCTTTCGCTTTGCATAGGAACGGAGATGGAGTGATCGAGAGGAAGGACGGTCAAGGGCCCACGAGCTGCCAAGAGAGGGCAAAAACTCTCTGTCAGTGATCAAGGATCGAGTCTGTAGCAGGAGCTCGGCCGGGTACTTGAGGCTCTGGACCCGATCTCCTGGACAGACGAGCGAATCGACCAGTTGCTGATCGAGGTGCAAGAGCAATTCGAAGCTCGCAAGGCTCTTTTTCGCGACCACCCCAGTGTTGCAGGCAGACACCAATGTCGACGGCAAGATCCAGTACGGCGAGTTTGTCCGATGGCTTTTCACAGATGGCTCAGACCAGGTCGGGGCTTTGCTTGAAGCAGAAGGCCTTCTCGCCTTTTCTCTCCGGTTCCACCCCTTCCAGGCAGCCTTCTGTCGCTCCGTGAAGGTGCGGCAATCTTCGGGCACCGTGAGCGCCTGTCCTCATCGTATATATTATATATTATGTATTACATATTATATACTATATATTACATATTACATATTATTTACCCTCCGTGCCAGGACATCTCCAAGGGCCTCCGCTTCCAGGTGGGAACTGCACAGAGCCGGGCTGGTGGCCAAGGGGTAGAACAGGAGGATGCAGTGGACAGAGTTCCGCCGATTTTGGGCCGGTAGGCCCTGGGATTGAAAGCATTTCAGAACACCGCGTGATCTTGTGAACTGGACCCCCGTACATCTGTCGAATTGTCCTGACGAACAGACCTGTTGCATCAATGAGAAGGGGCGGTGCACCAAACGCATAGTTGAGCTGGAGCATGCTGCCAATTGCTGCCACACAGCTCCAGTACCAGTCCAGCTTGTCACTCGATACACAAAGCCTATCAACGGGTGGTGGGTGGATCATCTGCAGGCCCACATTTGGCCAGCGAGTTTTCTTGCAATCTCACTCAATCGTACAGATTGCAGCAGCCGAAAAACATTTACAGTGAGTCCTGTCCTGTTTGAACACAGGCCAACGTAAGGTGTGGTGTGCCGATGATGCCGGACTAGGTTGTTGAACGTATGGGGCGGGAGGAAGGCCTGCATCGATCAAAGGGGGTGAGCAAACAGGTTCGGGTACTTTTTTCTAGGCAGCACAAGCGGATTGGGGTTTGTGCTGCGAGCAGCCACCAATTCGAAGCTCCTCCCCGAGACAGGTGGAGGCCCTCGTCGGCCTCCGAGAGCTTTGCTCGGTCCCTGAGAAAGAGAGGCGGTTCGCCGGCTGTCTTCCGCTGGAGCCATCCTCTCTTGGAAGATGAACGGCAGGAAAGATGCGTTGGAGCTGATACTCTCGATTCTCGAGCATATCATGGAGGTCGGCTTTTGGTTGCTTGGCGAGGCTTTGTCATGGTTTCATCCGTTGCTTTACGGAGGACCCTGAAGACTCGAAGCGCCGATCCATGAGTTGCGAAGAGCACCCAGGTGGGGAACCCGGAAGGGACCTCTGATGTTATGCGGACGTTGCTGGCGTGTGCCGCTTCCTCGGTGTATACCTGCAAGGCCAGACCCTTTTAAGAACGAGGCGGGCCACGGTTGCAGAGCCTGCAAGCGGCACACACTCACGCAAGCACCACGCACTGCAGGGGTTGTGACTGGTTGTTCGCTGCTTACCAGGATGTTTTGCTGGCAAGATACTGCTTGCACATTCGAGAGTTCAGAGCGCTGAATGCAACCTCCAAGACTGTCGGCGGTGGGCTACATAGATGATGGCCAGGACTTTGCAGAGAGCGCGCACCCCGAGTCAACTCAGTCCGTTCCCGCAAGGAGCTCTCCCTGCCGTCTCGGACGGACCCTGCTTGGCTTCTAGAGGAGCTTTTGAACTACTCAGAAGCGCTTTGATCTCCTTGAGACCCCTTCGGAGAGTATCAGGAGCTCCGGAGACTGAAGCAGAAGGACTGGGATCTGTCGGAGGCCCCGAGCTGTCGCGAGGCACCCCGTCCTTCTTCTGCTGTGTAGACGCGCAGGTGGACCCGCCTGATGACCTGCCAACTGATCTGCCGCTTTCTCCCGCCGTTGAAGCCGGCCTACCGCCCACGTGCCCTGAACTGCAGATCGGATCTCCGTCTGTCGAGAGCAGTGCTGCTGCTGTCTCGATTGAAGGTCTCGCTTGTTTGAAGGTGTCAGGAACTGAGGAGACCTTTTGCCATAGTTTAGGCGAGTGCAAGGGAGCGTAAGCGCTTGCATCGCTCGGGGAGGTTTCGATGCCCAGCGACATAAAAGACCTGGTGAAGGTGTTGCAGGCTTTGCCTGAAATGGACAAGAGGCGTGGATGTGCTGTTGCCGCGAGCGTTTTGGGACAATGGCTTGACTCATTGACGATGGAACCGTGTAACTGGGGAGGACGATGGGTGGCAAATGCATCCAGCAGACGCTGGCAATGGAGGATTTCATGACAGATCAGGCGAAACGGAGACTTACACCCGCTGCTCAGAGTCATCCTCCTGTACCTCAGGTGGGAATCCGACCGCTTCCCGGCAAGTACTTCGTGCAAGGCGTGCCAAGCTTCAGACATTTTCAGCTGGATTAGGGTTTTGGGGTTGAGCCCTACACCCTAAAAGGGTTTAGGGTCTCCACGGCGCCCGAAACGAGCAAAGGAAGTTGACAAGTGACACTTCTCCAGCACATGCTCGCCACATGGAGGGTTGTTCACTTGGAGGCCTTGAGGACACTCTTCATTGCCTTTTCACGGCGAATCTCCGCTCTCTCCCCTCCCTCCCTCGCTCCCTGCACATTGCTGTGCTGTGCACATGTTGGACAAGCCAGCACAGTTACCTGGTCTGGCCGAGCTTTTGAAGCCCGGTCGTTTCCAACCTTTCAGGTGTGAAGGCTTTCGACCTGCAGACGCCGCTGAAGAGCATGCCCTCCGACAAGGACTGGCCTGGCCAGAGCCTGTCAGAATTGGGCGAAGGCCTAGTGACTCGAAGTGTCGGGGTTCACGGTCTTGTTCGCCGAGTCAAGGGAAGGGGTTGGAGTGACTTGTATCCTTTTTTTCAGGAGTTTGTCTACCATGGCACGGGCCAAGACGGCTGCTCGACTGCATTTTATCGACGTGCATCGCGGGGTCGGGGGCCGGTCGGGGTGTGCAAGGACGCCCCTGCTCCTTCAAAGCCTCCGTCGCCGAGATCCTCGAGTGGCAGTCCTCCTTCCGGGCCTACTACGCCGCCCGGCCCAAGCCCGCCCTCCGGTCCTGTCCCAGACAACCTGCGTCTCCCAGCCGAGGCTACGGATGTCTACACCGACAAGGAGGGCCTAGAGCTCCTGAGTCGGTCCTTGGAGGGGCACTCTGAGGCCTCCTTCCGCCTAGGTATGCCTAGGCCCCGTGAGGCTATTTTCTCTAGACGCTCCTTTCCTGCAGGCCGGCGAAGAAGCCTGGAAGATGAAGTTCGCCATCAGGTGCAGCAAGAATCCCGTGATCATGAGATTCGACGGCCGTGTCGTCCCGCGCGAAATTGGCGATCCGGTTTCCAGCCGGATTCATCTTGTGTCTGTCTGTGGTATCGACTTCGCATCCCGCGTTCACGATCACGTTGACCTCACCCACTACATCAAGAATTGGAAGGAGGTTTACTGCTTTGATGACCCTCGGATGCACTGTAAATGGACGCTTGCCGGCTGCGTGCCGCTCTGTGCCCGCTCTGTGCAAGATGACCTTGCAAGGATGAAGGCGTTCCTTATGTCCGGCACGGGCGCGACTTCGAGCTCTCCGGGACCTTCGCGCAGCTGAACGTTTCTAAGACCCTCATCGATCTGATCCATGGCAGCAAGAGAGACGGAAAATGCAGGCCGTGCTCGGTCTGAGCCGAAACCCCTTTGAAGCCGAGGAAGAAGATGTGCCGACTGCGCTTGAAGGCACAAGACGACCTAGGCCCAGTGACAGACATCCCAAGCCCAAGCCTCTCCATGGCCGAAGTTTCAGCTCAGCGCTTTCTCGAGGCATCCAGGTGGTCGTGGAAGTGGGCCTTGGCCTGGGGGTCTTTGCCGGCGATGCCTTGGGCATCGGCAACACGGTGCGGCACCTCTCAGCTCCCTGGCTTTCTGGGCGTCTTTGGTGGCTCCCCAAGCAAAAGCTCGGCCCGGACAGCCCTCCCTCGTCCTCTGAAGGCCCTGGCGCTGCAGCGGGTTCTTCAGGAGGAAACCTTCAAGAACATTCGACTCGTCGTGCTGTCCTTGAGCCTTGGAAGCACTACTTCAAGGTGTCGAACCTTCACCCTGTATCATAGCCCGAAAGCAAAGAACTCATAGTACCCCTACAAGACCGTTACATATTGCTCTGTAGCACCCGTAGAAGCCCGCTGGAGCTCGGAGCTTTCCAGCATGGATTCGGAGCTGCGATTTTGTTCAACGAGGCCGATCTTCCGCAAGGGAGACAACTACGACTTCTACGAGAAGGCCTGCATCCCCTGACTTGTAATGTTGGATACAAAATAGAATATGCTCCTCTCTGGTATCTTGTGCTTTCTTAGTATTATCGTATATTGTAGTGTGTATTGTGGCATAGTGAACTTTCAAGGGGGCTCCGGGGCGACCTGTCTTGAAAGGTCTTCAGCCGCGACAAGGAGCCCTACACCGGATCCATTCCCGTCCTTCTCATGGACCAGGCCGCGCTTTTGGAGCCGTGGAGTCAAGTCGATCTGCGAGTCGGGGAATGCCACTTAACATAAAGCCAGTAGTATGATGGTATGACTATGGACTTCCTGTGCCTGGAGGATATGCACGCCATTGCTCTGGCAGCTGCTGGCTTTTTGGATTGCACTGGACTGGGGTCCAGCTGCTTCTGAGTACGCCAAGGGTCGCAGAGGCTGCGTTGGTCGTTGGATTCGCTCCTACTCTTGGCCTATGTCTCCTGCTACTGCCACTGCCGCTGCTGCTACTATTACTGCTGCCGCTACTGCTGCTGCCGCTGCTGCTACTACTACTACGACTGCGACTACGACTACTGCTACTACTGCT